CAACCATTCCGGGATTCTGTGTTAAACCTCCCTCCAAGGCCCCAGGGCTCTGCTCTAGCAGCAGCTCCCACAGACCCCCCTGAATATCCCCTCAGAATCCAAATCAGGAGTCATTCGTTGGCCGGTAGCTAATGGGAAAAGGCTCCTTGTGGCTGAACCTACCCAGTGCAGAAGGACGAGCAGTGTCCCGGTTTAATGCAAGAAACGGGGAAATAGGATTTGGGGCTGCTGGGTTTGCTTTGGGGTCGTTTTTGTGACATTGGGAGAGTGCCGTGATGTTGATTTTGCCATTGCCCAAAAAGCAAAATGTTTGCATATTCCTGTGAATTTCTTCAAATCTTCAGCAACTCATTAATAGTTTACAGTTTTAACTGGACTATATGGATGAAAAGCACTTTTTTTTGCGAATGTCTAGAAAAACACATACCCACATCATATTTTTAAGAGGACTTCGTGTATTTCAGAAGCAGGTTGCAGTGACTAGAAACACACATACCCACATCGTATTTTTAAGAGGATTTTGTGTATTTCAGAAGCAGGTTGCAGTGAATGTCTGCAGGAAAGCTTTTTTTTCATATGGATTTGGACACTTATGTGTTTCATTAAATATCAGTGAAAAGCTTCTGAAAAACAGGCAGTCCACTCATGTGGACACATCGAAGGATATTAACATCTAAGGATATCTAAGGATAATATCCTTAGATATTAAACTAAGGATATTAGATGTGTCCTTCCAAAAATATTTGTCCCAGTTTGACCTTACCCCTGTTCACCTGCAAATTACTGCCCCATATTTGCATGGGGCAGTAATGCACCTCCATGCACCTCACCTTTTTCCTGTGTGAATAATCTAGTTTCACTTAAAAGCATAGGAAAATTGAATTGGAACATTCATGTGAGCACTGCTGCATTTTACCCACGGAGCTGCTAACTTCTGGAGCTGCTAAATTCCATTCCCAGGATGTGCTCCCCTGTGTCCCACGTCACTCCGACGCCTGGAATTCCATCCGACGGGTGCCAAGGCTACCTGAGGCCCAACATGGATCAGGGTGACTTGGTTTGATGGTCACCTGCACACGGGACTGCTCGTTTTGGTGATGCTGATGTGCAAAACCAGCTGGCGACATCTCCTGCACGCGGCCTGGGGAGCGTTGCCAGCAGTGCTGAGCTCTGAAGAAAGTCATTTTTATGTGATTCATAGAAAAAACAAGCTTCCCCGTCCCTCCCCAGCTGCAGAAGGAGGAGCTCTTTGAAAACAAACACCACGAGCTGCATCAAACAGCTGCCCGAAGCAAGAAATCCCATGCAAAAAAGCAGGAAGTAGTGAAAAAGCCCCTTTTTTGGTTGCTTTTTCTCTTGGGTGTGCAACGCGGAGCTGTCACCTTTGGCAGGAAAAGCTGCCCGAGCTGCTGCTCTTCCCCAGGAGCCAGCAAAACTCAAATGCCTGCAGCAAAGGGCAGGATTGGGGCTGCACGGAGCGGGTGGCCGAGCCCTTGGCGATTCCCGAGGCTCCTGGTCTGCACGTGGAGACCTTCTTCCTTGTGGGCTCCATCCTCGGCCAAAATGACTCGATCTGGGCTTTGTTGTAACGGTTTTGCCAGATGCCCCTGAGCCAGAAACAGTCGCTCTTAAGCGACACCCAAACTCCCCTGGGAGCAGGAGCGCGGCGGCTTCACCTTGGGAAACAGCTTGTAAAAGCCTTTGGGTGACCACCTGGAAGGAACCAAGTGCCCCTTCAGCACGGTTTTCACCCCCAAAGCCCTGCTTCTCCTCATGCATTTCCATGTTTTTTTCCCCTGCTGCTTTCCCAGTCATGGGTAAAGGTTTTGCCCACAAACCCTTCCAGAGAAGTCTTCTTCAAACACAGGTTTTCTCCATCCCTGTTGACTGCACTTGCATCAGAAGAGCTGCAGACTCAACAGACGCTCCCATGGCCTCTCTTCGCTTCTTCTGCTCATGATGTTTCTTCCACGATGTTAGACCCAGAGCTCCAACACATGGATGGTGATTTATCGGATCGGACTTAGCGGATTTAGTGGAGGTCATTGCAATCGCTGCTTTTCGTAGCATCCATTCCATGAATAATAGTCAAATTAGAGGTTGCAGTTGATCCAAGTTTCATCCTTCACCAAGCCCAGAGGAATTCTTGGCCTCTGGTTCATCTCCGATCCTTTCTAGGCATGAGAGAGGAGGACATGCTCCATAGCTGTGTTTTCCATGTGTTTTTCTTCCCTCCTCTCTTCTCCTGTCCCATCTCCTCCAGCTTCCTGTTGGCTCCTTCCCAACGCCACGTCCCACCAGAGCCGCCAACGCTTGGCCCCGGAGCCAACCCCGGTGCAAAACTTGGAGCGCGTTTTCTTTGGATGGGCTATAAATAAGGAAGCGGCCGGAGGGCTGGATCTGTGTCCTTCCTTGGCCTCTTGCACCAACGCTGGAGGAATCGGCATCCACCACGTGTTATAGATGGTTATATCATCACCTATATAATGATGATATAATAACAACTCTGAAGTGCATCATCTTGGGAGGGAACGCCGTTATTTTTCCGCTCTAGCTGCCAAAACAAGTTAACAATTTCTGCTGAATTGATGCAGCTGCCCTGTTACATATTAATGGAATTGGGAAACCCTTCTGTGGCCTGGAGGACACCGAATCGATGGTGACTGTTGTCTAATTCCTTCAACTAGAAGGAGAGAACAGTGTCGTTATGGTTTGTAGTAACCCAGACTTAAGTAATAGTCAGTCAATAACGTTTAGGGAGGCTCCCAGAGCCATAAATAATGTTCCCTTCGGCGGGAATGTGCAACTGGATGCGCCTGGCTTGGGAAGGGGAGAGTTTCCTGCGGCTCTTGGGTTCCTGCTCCGGCATCCGAGAGCAGCGAAGGAGCCTCCGGCCAGGGACCACCTGGGGAACTGCCCCTTCTGCAGCTCCTGCACCCAGATGGGGACGGAGGGCGTCAGGTGTCAGCGCAGGGTTGGTGTCCCCATGGGGGACAGATGAGCGAAGGGCTCCGGGGCAGCGGCGGCGAGTCCGGTCTTGAGCCTCCCCCGTGGCGAATCTGCAAGATAAAGGAGATAAACATGAGGAGGAGATGAAAATCTAAATAAACAGATTAAAAATGAGATAAATCTATAAATACAGAGTAAATGCTGTATTGACATCTCCTTCCTACGCTTACTCGCGCTGTCTCAGCGCTTTGAAACCTGCCTTCAGTCCTCCGTGGGTTCCCTTTTTCTTGGTGCCTTGTGGCCCGTGTCCTCGTCCTGCATGGAAAGAAGAGCCTTGGGGACGGGCTGGTGTCACTGGCCCTGCTTTGCCTCTCCGCGTGTGCAGACGAAGCTGTTGAAAGACGCTGGGCAGAGCCCACACGCTGCAAATTAGGGTTTTTTTTCCCTCCTCGTGTTAGAAAACCAGGAGCAGATGTTTTACGAGCAAGTGTGTCTAGCCGTGATCCATGAATTCCCACGGCGCCTCCTCTCGCTCCCAGCTCAACTTCGGCTTTGGCTCCGGGGAAGCAGCATCAGCCAAAGCCCGTTAGAGACTGGGGAGAAAGAAAAACCCACAAATTTGCCTTAATTTACAGTTAGTCATTAATATATCAAAGCCAGGTAGGGTTTTGGGTGTTTTTTTGCAATTTAGCAATTTATTTCGTTACAACATCCGCGTGCACTAATGTAAACCCCAGCTCAATGAAAATGGGGGAAATTCATACGAATTAGGAAGACTATCCTAAAATTACAACTTAAAACTGAATTGATAGCAGGAAATGGTTCCGTTTTGTGCTGTTCTGCCCCAGAAGAAGACCGGGGTTGTCTCAGAGCTGAGGATGGAGATCTGGTCTGAGCCTAACTCGCTCCCATTCATCAGCCGTGCACTTTTCCTGAGGATTTGCTGCAAATTAGAAGGAGGAATCCCTGGGGAGGTGGCACACATCTGGAGCCGTGCCCTTGCTTTAAGGGCTTGTCTGCTTTCAAGGGAGATAAAATGTTGATTCCAAGTTTCATCCAGGCACGGGGCCAAAGAAACCGCTCACGTCAGCGATGCCCAAGCTGCATTTACAGAAACTTGTATTTCCAGCAGGTCGACTTCGGCTTTTATTCAGACTTTTATAGTTCCGAATCATAATTCTTTCCCGAAATATTTCTTTTCGTATAATCTGCAGCAAGGCTGCGCTGCAAAGGATGCCAGATGGAAACTGATATTTTTCCCCCAAATATTTCCCTGCAGCTTCATTTCGCAGCTCCTGGCCAAGGTGCAGCAGTTTTTAATAGCATAAATCCTCTGTAAATGTCTCTTTTTCAAACTATAGGCTTCAAACTCAGTAACATCTTCCAAGACCATTAGGCACCATTTCAGGTCTTGTGTAAAATATATATATTTATGGTCATCCAGCAGTTGAGCTGTAGCTTCCAATAGCTGTTTTTTTCACAATGAGGTATTTAAAACACAAATTCTGTTCTTGAATTAAGAAATGGAGTGGAATTAAGACCTACATTGATCACAGCTCTTTTCCTGCCACTTTGTTCCCCTGCTTTTCTGATGTCCTAGAGAATCCTATGGCGGCTGCTGCCTAGTGCTGGTTTCCCTCTTATTTTTTATAGAAAAAAATAATTTTATAGAAAAAAGAATTGCATTGTCGTTCTGATGCATGTCTGTTTTGGTCTCTCGAGTGACTCTTACTTTTTAATACAACCAATTCCGTGTGTTTTTAACAGATTAATGCTGATGCAGAGAAGGAGGAGGGCGAGGAGTTTGAGGACAGCATGGACGTCTACGACGACAGCAGTTCCAGCCCATCGGGGACACTGAGGAACTACCCTCTGACCTGCAAAGTTGTTTATTCCTACAAGGTTGGTGGTTGCGCTCGGGAGGCCCCCGCAGGGACCGCGTTGCTGCTCCCGGCACCTGACGGCCCCTTTTTCCTGGGATCTCCCCCGCTCCAGGCTTCCCAGCCGGATGAACTGACCATCGAGGAGCACGAGGTCTTGGAGGTTATTGAAGATGGAGATATGGAAGATTGGGTAAAGGTAGCGTTTGCTGAACTCAGTTATTTTTCACTGTTCCATTTTGGGAGCAGAAAAATGCGTTTGGCTCCGAAGAACTCCAAAGCGGAGACTTTTTTGCCATCTGTTACTTCCAGGCGCGAAATAAAGCCGGGCAAGTGGGTTACGTCCCGGAGAAGTACCTGCAGTTCCCCACGTCCAGCAGCCTGCTGAGCATGCTGCAGTCCCTCGCGGCGCTCGACAGTCGCTCCCACACCTCCAATAACTCCACGGAGGCCGACCTCGTCTCGGGCAACCTCAACGGAGACGCCAGCGGTAAATCCCTTCAATCGCCCGTTCGTTTAGGGCAGGAAACAACCCTCTGGGTTGGGTTTGGAGGTTGCGCGTGAGGGTTTGGGGTGAATCTGAGTGCAGCTCTCCTCATCCATAGAATCATAGAATCACGGAATGCTCAAGGTTGGAAGGGACCTCTAGGGATCATCCAGTCCAACCCCCTGCACACGCAGGGTCACCTAGAGCACGTGGCACAGGACTGCGTCCAAGTGGGTTTGGAGATCTCCAGAGAAGGAGACTCCACAACCTCTCTGGGCAGCCTGTTCCAGTGCTCTGGCACCCTCACTG